ACTGTGTCATTGTGATGGATCTGTGCTGACTGAGAGTCTCGCATTGAACATCAGTGCTCAGTCCATGAATCTTGGTGCCAAGGAACCCACTCAGTTCAACAAGGAGGAAATAAGTTGGTTAAAATCAACATAACTCCTACTATATATAACGTTACAGTAAACGACAATTGTCTTAATAGCTGCTGATTACCTGAATCAGACACCAATTGCACAGGGATTGGCCAAAATATATGGTTGAAGCAAGCTGCCAGTTTTCCTAAGCATCAATTTTTGCCAACTTATCTACAGTGAGGGTTCAAAAGTTTCCATACACCCCACCAAAACCAACCACCTACATTCTCACCTTTAGCCTTAACAGACCATATCCTCAACTTCCGTGAAAGGTAGACAAATAGTGATATATTCAAATGAAAGCCCAGTTCCCAGGCATTAATATTTGTATACCAACCTCGAGCTTTTTTCACAGCCGCGAGCCGGCGAGGCAACGAGTCAATCAGCCTGTCATCAGAGCTTGATCTACAGCCCACCACGCCATACGCAACTTCTCCTTGAATTCCTCAATATTAGGCTCATTCCTTTTGAGTTCCCAAAGATCAGGGAACATTGTCTTCAGCGTCCTCTTTATAGCCGCCCAGACATGCTCAATGGGGTTCAAATTGGGGCTGTGCGGCGGCCAATCCATCCACTCGATTGCATGCTCGACAAGCCAGTTTTGAGTGGCCTCAGAGACATGAATCTTAGCATTATCTTGCTGGAAATGCCTCGTACCGTCGTAATAAGGCAGGAGACCTTCTTGAAGAGCCTTCTGGTAAGACTTAGACGTATATCCTCTACGAGAGGCGTCTTTGTCTCTCTCCATAATGATGAGCTCACTCCGACCACCTCTCCAGACCATTCCCCAGACCATGACGGTGATATTCGCCTTAACATGGTCCTTCAAGTTGACGAACCGCTTATCAAACTTCTCAGAAGAGGAACGGAATACCCAAGAAGTCGGATTTGAAGTGTTATTCTGACATGAACACTCATCGGAAAAGAGCGTCTAAATCAGATTAGTTAAGGAAAATGATATATCGAACTGGGGCTTCAAACTCTCAACAACTCTTCGGTATTTTCGAGTTATATACATGCTCAGTTATACCTCTTTTAGGCATCTTTCTTCGAGAGAGGTATCCTTCTCTTTGCTTTCCATTTGCGGAGGTTCTGAGCGCGGAGGCATCGACGTATTGTCGAGTAGGACACTTTAGACCCCATTGCTGCGACCAGAGCCTTTCTAGCAACATCCCGATTTCTCTTTAAGAGAGTTAGGATATACCGTTTCTCCGATCGTGAAAGCTTCTGAGGACGGCCTTTTCGAGGTTTTGACTCAAAGGTCTGTTGAGTTTCCCAGCGTCGAATGCAGTTTTGTACGGCGCCGACGGAGACGCCAAACGCGTCCGCTACAGCCCGGTAGGTTTTACCGCAAGCCACAGCGCAGCAAATGGCTGCACGAGCGACTGGTGATACTTCCTCATTCCGACCGCGATTTCCGTCAATTTGGCCCCAAAATCAGCTAAATTGAGCTTCATGATGTTAAGTTGTTGCGGTTGGAAGAGCATAGGGGTGTCGCGACGCGTGGAGGATTGCGCTTAATTAAGTGGGGTGTATACGGAGGTTCCTACCAAGTTCCACCACACCGCCTTAGAAATTCTGGCCGGCAGAATTACCTGATCAGGCTCTGCAAGCCAAGACGGAGTAGTACCCCCGCACATACTGGGCAGGCATCGCCCTCCCTCCTCCATTTTTCTTTCTTCCTAACTGCCTTGTTTTACCTATTCGGCTTTACCTACCTAGATACTTACCCACCATGCCACACCACGATATTGCTACACGTGCCTCGGCACTGATGTTACGGCTTGTTCTTGAGCTGGATAACAAGACGATCGAAGCCCTCACTGGCTTGAAGCCCCGTACCGTGGACCTCATTGCACAACGGGCACTGGAGCGTGGATTTGATCCAACGGCCTCCCCCCCCGTTATCCTTGACGTATATGTCCAAGATGGCCCTCGGTCTGGCCGTCCTCGCAAACAAGAGCAACATAAAGATGAGGTCCTTCAGAAGGTACGGGCGAACCGATACGGCCGGGAGATGACATGTGCGTTTAATATCTAACGAGCTTGGCAATATCATCTCGCCGACGACAGTCTGGCGTATTTTTCGGGCAGCCGGGATGAGGAAGACGAAGCCAACACGCAAGCCAGGCTTGACCGAGAAGATGAGGAGAGACCGCTTTGAATTCTGTCTCCTTCATAAGGACTGGACTCTCGAGGATTGGAAGCGGGTGATTTGGTCTGACGAGACATTTGTTGTCATCAATCATCGTCGGGGAGGATACCGGGTTTGGAGGACTCCTCAAGAGAGGTTCGTCAAGTCGGCAATTCGAGAGCGATGGAAAGGATTTGCCGAGTTCCAATTATGGGGCTGTTTCTCCTACGATTCGAAAGGACCATGTCATGTTTGGCATCCTGAAACGGCACAAGAGAGGAAAGCGGCTGACCGAGGTATTGAGGAGCTAAACGCTCAGCTTGAACCTATCTCGAAAGAAGAGTGGGAGCTTGAGACGAAGATGCGGCGTCTTGGTCTTCGAGGCCGGAGCGGCAAGAAACCTCAATGGAAATGGGATGCCAAACATGGCAAATTGACTCGAGGGAAAGGCTCTGGGGTGGATTGGTATCGCTACCAAAAGGAGGTCTTGATACCGAAGTTCATCCCTTACGCTAAGCGGTGTGGTCGTGATGCACTTGTGCAAGAAGACAGGGCTCCATCACACGCACATAAGGCACAGTCCGCTGTCTTTGATGCTGCTCATGTGGCCCGGCTTCTATGGTGTCCTAACTCACCTGATCTTAATATGATTGAGCCTTGTTGGCCACATTTGAAGCGGCTGACGACAAAGAAGGGAGCCCCAAAGTCAAAAAAGGAGGCCGAAGTAGTGTGGACACAGGCGTGGGAAGACTTGGAGCAATCAAGGATACAGGCTTGGATCGAAAGGATACCGTTTCACATCCAGAAAGTGATTCGCTTGGAGCGTGGTAATGTGTACAAGGAAGGCCGGGCAAAAGAACGCCGGGAAGATGTAGTTACTGGACCAGGCCCTGCTTTGGAACAGCTCTAACCTAGTCGTATCTGTCAAAGTGTACGGATTAGTGGGGTGGCTTATAGTGCATAACGTCTTGGCACTAAATGCGGTGTGGTGGAACTTTTGGTAGGAACCTCCGTAGAGACTTTTGGGCCGTGACTTATTTGCACTTACCCCTCACTTCGGTGCACTTATCCCCACTTATCACAACCAATCATAGCCTAGAGTCTTGGTCACCAGCCACACCAAGATTATGTAGCCAACACCGCCACTGTCCGTTTGCATCAAGACACCACTCTTAGTTACATGCAACAGTCATACATTGGAACTCAGATCCGACCTCCGAGCGGAACACCAAACGCGCCTAGAGGGCTGATCGCGACTGTATAGTTGGACGAATTGGCTAGGTCTTTGGTTTGTATGTTTGATGTTGGTGCATTTAAAGAACCTTAATGCAATGGACGATGGTTCACGTTGGCTGTCAAAATTGGGTGTGGCTGGTAGGTTGGACTCTAGGTTATGAGTGGTCGAAATAAGTGGATATAAGTGCAGCGAAGGCCACGGGGTGAGTGCAAATAGACATGGTTAAATTCTGCGCGGTGTTTTGTCGAGTCGCGCGTTCGCAGGAGAAATGAAATCGTCGATAGTGACATCGTCATAGCGCGTCACATTTTTATTACATCAAGCACAGCTAGTTCCGAGGATTGTACACGTGTAGTTGCGCCCCATGGTTCTCGATGCCAGCACTGCCAGTTTCTCTTTCGGCTTCAGCTGTGTGTCTCTACACTGCCCTACCGATTCCACCGAATCATCGATTCGCAATGGCGCCGATGCGACGGAACGCCAACATGCAAGCGCCACAACTGGCAGCTGAAGCCACATTCAATTACAAAGTAGCTCGGATCGGAAAAGCGCAACGGCCGGCGGAAGCCTGACGTGGGGGTTAAGCTTTGCGGCGTCGACCTTGGCGAGCACGGCATCGGTATTCGCGATTGCATCATCGCCACGGCAGCACTTCATTCGTTGCGGAATTGGCCATCATGACGCGCTGTCCCTGCATTGGAACCCAGAATCTGGGGTTGGCATCTTGGTGGCTTCAACTGCACACTCTCATCGTTTGGACGTCAACAATGATCTCGAACTTTGCATTGTCTCGCGCTTGTTCCATTGGAAGGTTCAAGTTGATGACAATGGCTTTCTGTCAACGCTATTGTTTCCACCGAAACATAATCACTTGGATTGTGGGCGCAATTCCGTCTGGCACCTGTTCTGGCCCATGGAGTAGCACACCCCTTTCCTCCGGCTTGCCTATTCAGCGATCCCAGCCAACAAGCAATATCCAGTTCGTTCGGCTGACAAACTGCGGCAGCTAGCTGTGATAGGCAAAGCAGCGATTGCGCCATCCAGATGTACCCGCCCTCCGCATGTTCCGGATCCGCCTCATGCATATCATAGATGCAACAGTACGGAGGTACATGTAGAGCTTGCAGTTTGCTGATGACTTTGATGAGAGGGGCTCTCAGTTTCTGTTGATGATATCTTCAGCAGCTTGCTTCTAACCCATTACCCGTTCGCCCCATTGCCTCTCAGCTCCTTCACCCTGGTCAACTTGGACTTTTCTTGGCCTTGTAACCTCCAGTCAGTGGGAAGGGGCCCTGGTATATATTTGCTCTTCTTGGATCACAGCACATGCAGCATTCTCTGTAACGGACGTCAGCAGACAATCATCTCACCTTCGCACTCTTGACGCATACACATGTATCAGCGATAGGATCAACAGACCGTTCCCCACCCACGGAGCTCTGACGCAAAACACCTATCCATCTGTGTTTCGCGCCTCGCGCCTCGCCCTCCAACCTCTCCCATCACCCATCTTTCGACTATCCCACAAGACTAAATTAGCCACCCGGACGGTTCAATACACGGCATGGCTCCCAAGGCCAGCCACGTTGTGGCAAAGGCGCTGGGCATCAGGCTCCAGGAACATGATCCCTTCCGGGAGCTCGACAGGCCAGGTGCCTCGATGATGTCGGACCGGACAGACCACAGTTTCGTCGAGGAATCTCCCCGGGTCCTCGACCACCTGAACAGCCTCATTCCGTCCGGCAAGGAGCTCTACCGCTATCTCATATCCTTGTTCCCGTTCCTCTCCTGGATCGGACACTACAACCTGCAATGGCTCATTGGGGATCTCGTCGCCGGTAAAGATTGGTTGCCGCTGATGTTCCCAGAGTCGACTTGCTCACGGCTTCACAGGTATCACGATCGGCGCTGTCGTCGTCCCTCAGGGCATGGCTTATGCCAAGGTAGCCAACCTAGAGGTCCAATTCGGCCTGTACTCGTCTTTCATGGGCGTTTTGATCTACTGGTTCTTTGCAACCTCGAAGGACATCACAATCGGCGTAAGTGGGCTTCCCAAAGTGTGCAAACCCGGGCGCTTACCAAGAGGTTACAGCCCGTCGCCGTCATGTCTCAGTTGACCGGCGGCATCGTTGCGGACTTGGCCACCACCCTGCCCGACGTTCCGGGCCATGTCATCGCCTCGGCTCTTGCTATCCTCGCTGGTGCCATCGTCCTCTTCATTGGCCTCGCCCGTTGCGGATGGATAGTCGATGTCATCTCCCTAACCGCTCTCTCCGCCTTCATGACAGGTTCGGCCATCAATATTGCCGTCGGGCAGATGCCTGCCCTGATGGGCATCACGGGCTTCCCTACTCGCGATGCGCCCTACCTTGTCTTCATCCACACCCTTCAGGGCCTGCCCCGCACGACCCTGGATGCTGCCATGGGCCTGACCGCTTTGGCGATGCTCTATTCCATCAGGTCCGCCTGTTCGTATGCTGCAAAACGATGGCCCAAGCATCAGCGGCTGGCCTTTTTCCTCTCGACCTTGAGGACCGTCTTCGTCATCCTGCTGTACACCATGATCAGCTGGCTAGTCAACAGGGGTCTGCCCAAGGACAAGGTCAAGTTCAAGATTTTGCTCGACGTCCCGAGAGGTGAGTCCGGTCTTTCCATCAAGGTTCTGGACTCCGAGGCTAACTCTCAGCAAGGCTTCCAAAATGCAGCAGTGCCGGTCTTGAACCAACGCATCGCGAGCAATCTCGTCGGCTACCTGCCCGCCACCGTCATTGTCCTGCTCATCGAACATATTGCCATCTCCAAGTCATTTGGCCGGGTGAACAATTACACTATCGACCCCTCGCAGGAGATGGTCGCCATTGGAGTGACGAACATGCTGGGCCCGTTCCTGGGCGGATACGCTGCGACCGGCTCCTTCACCCGTACCGCTATCAAGTCGAAAGCCGGAGTCCGAACCCCGTTCGCAGGAGTCATCACAGCGGTTGTCGTCCTCCTCGCTATATACGCCCTGCCAGCCATGTTCTACTACATCCCCAACGCCTCCCTCGCTGCCGTCATCATCCACGCTGTTGGCGACTTGATCACCCCACCAAACACCGTCTACCAGTTCTGGCTCGTCTCGCCGATAGAGGTCTTCATCTTCTTCGTGGGCGTCATTGTCACCGTCTTTTCGACCATCGAGAATGGCATCTACTGCACCGTCTGTCTCTCGGCCGCCATGCTTCTCTTTCGCATCCTGAGGGCCAAGGGTCGCTTCCTGGGTCGAGTGCGGGTGGCATCAATAATCGACGACTACGTCGTTGGCGACGACTCTCGACGGGCGGCCAAGTACGGCTCGATCGCTGGCTCCCCGGAAGCTCCGTTCCGCAACGTCTTCCTTCCTATCACCCACGCCGACGGGTCCAACCCGGAAATCGAGCTCGACAACCCCTACCCGGGCATCTTCATCTACCGCTTCTCCGAGGGCTTTAATTACACCAACGCCAGCCACAGCCTCGAGTACATGACCAGCTATATCTTTGCACACACCCGCCGGACCAGCCCGGCGCACTTTGACCGGCCAGGGGACCGCCCCTGGAACGACCCGGGCCCATCTCGGCGCCAACGCAAAGCCGCCGCCAAGGCAGCAGCAGAAGCCACGACAACCAACACCCAGCCGTCCCTCAACGCCCACCTGCCCACCCTCAAAGCCATCATTCTCGACTTCAGCTCCGTCAACCACGTCGACATCACCTCAGTTCAACAGCTCATCGACGTGCGCAACCAGCTGGACCGGTACGCGGCCCCGGACACGGTCGACTGGCACATAGCGTGCATCAGCAACCGCTGGACCAAGCGGGCGCTCGCGGCCGCCGGCTTCGGGTACCCGACCATGCGGCCCGATGTGCCGCACCTGCGGTGGAAGAGCATCTTCAGCGTGGCCGAGATCGGCGGGGAGCAGAGCGCGGCCGCGGCGGCCGAGTTTGAGGACAACGAGAAGGAGCTGCAGGCGGCCTCGGAGTCGAAATCGCTCCGGAGGCCGTCGATGCAGCACAGCGGCAGCAGCAGCCAGTACCACCATGATGTCATGTCCAATCTGGAGGCGGGGCTGCAGCCTGAGAATTACAGCCGCGGCGCAGACGAGGGTAGTAGTGAGGATGATTCGCCGGCTGGCACGACGGCTACCAAGATAGCGGCGCCGGCGCTGAATTGCGGGCGGACGGTGGCGGTGCACGGCATCAATCGGCCGCTTTTCCACGTCGACCTGACGAGTGCCTTGCAGAGCGCCATTGCCAACGTCGAAGCCAGGGTGGAGGTCGGGAGTCAGCAGGCCAAGTCACCTGGCGGTGAGGAAACGACGGATTCAAGCGTAGACGGTTAGAGCGGGATAGTTAGGATAAACTTGCATCGGGCGTTGGTTATGTCTTTTTTTGGGTTTTTCATGGGCGTATTGGGCGGACAGGGGGTTCTCATGATGACATGAATGCAGTTGCATTGGGGTGGGATTTGCATCCTTTTCTCTTTTTGGAAGAAAATACCCCGATAGAGCAGGAATTTTGGAAATCATTCATTTCAAAACATTTATGGGTGTCGACTGGCAATCATCTAGATACAGCCTAGTGTGTATGATTTCCAATGACATGCGGCGCCGGTTAGAGAGGAGGAAGACAGGTAGATGATGAGTAGATACTAGGAGCATTCGAGCGGCGGGATCAGAACCTTTGACTCTTCGTAAACAATGCGGTGGGTAAAGTATACTAGCTGGATAGTTTGATGTCTATTTAGGTACAGAATCAAACAGACACAGAACCCCATTGGAACCAGCACACCCAGTAACGTCTCATGCATGCCACGCCATAACCTACCATGAGACAGTGTTAAGGCGGTATCACAATTGCCCATTGCCATAGGCCTGGTAATGGACCGCTGGTCCTCTGTTAAAATGGCATTGAAACGAAAAGAAACCCCAAACCGCAACGCACAATATATTCGAGGAAGATGCCATTCACCGCCGAGCACCAGGGGGCCAGCCGCTCCTAATGCTGTAATACGTGAGCCATAGGTGGCCTGACAGGGGTCGTTTGATGTCTGACATCAAGAAAGAGAAGCGCGTGTCTTCGGGGGCTCACGCCCCACGCGCTCTCTTCCTGGAACCTCTAGCATGGTCCTGTGGACTGCTTCGAGGCACGGGACGTTTCGAGCCCCTCCCATTTCCCCTACCACGGCCACCGCCGCCTCGACCGCCACTTGTCAAGCTCGCCGGCAGCCCGGGGTCCAGGAAGTGTCCGCTGCCAGAGCGACTCGACTCGGCATGCTGAGGGCCTCCCGGCGTCGGTTGGTGCAAGGGCGGTGTCTCGCGCCGCGGGACACGGCTTTCGTTCGCCGCGCCGGTGGTTTCAGTGGGTTTGTGACTCCGCATACGTGTGACCAAGCCGCGCATATTGGCCACGTAGGAAGAAGGGGCGCCATAGACGCCGATCAAGTCCAAAATCTCCTCGAGCGCGTCGATGTACTGGGTCTGGTCCGCCAGCATGTCGAGTGCCGAGTAGACAAAGTTGCCGTCGTTGTCTCCGATCAAGCGCCTGTACAGTTCCCGATTGTGGATGACAACCTTGAGGATGCTGACGAGCGCCCGGGCCGCCGACGGCCGGGCCCATTCGGGGAGCGGGTTGGAGCCGCGTGAGATGAGCTTTTCGATCTGTGTAACGCAGTGTTCAATCTGATTACAAGCCCAGCTCGCATCTCGTAAACCTTCTGCCCGCTTTCCCCGCCTTTGGTATACCTCAGCAGCTTCTTCATCCTGCTGAGCTCCCGAGTATGCATTCAACTCCTGGATGATACGATCTACCCGGTGCTGTATCTTTCGAAACGGGTTGACAGCTGGATCGGATGGATCGAGCTCAGAACGAACCCACTCCGCGAGCGAGTGTGAAGCGAGAATGAGAGAGAACAGGGTGGCTCCGAGGTCGCCGCGCCGTATCAGGACGTTGGGGTCGTACGATGTTTCGAGTTCGAGTCGGTAGTCATCGAGCTCATAGGGCTGGATCCCGGCCACCGCGGCAACCATCTCTCGGGCCTCCCTCACGCGGGCCGGGTTGGGAGAAACGGTATCACTGTCGGGCTCCGAAGTGTCACAGCGGAGACTATCAGCCAAGACATCGAGGCGTATTTGTGATATCTGTTCAAACGGGTCTCCCAGCTCCTCAGCGTAGCCAAGCTCGGTCAAAGTGAGTTCTGTGTCGGGATCGTGGTCTAACAGGATGTGCTTCGAGAGCCTGTCGAATAGCCAGATGAGGTGCTTGCACGGCCTCATTTGTCGATACTTAGCATCCGGGCATTCGCATCTCGGCTCGGAGAACCTCCCGCTGTCTCGGGCGCCGATTCGGACGGAGCAAGGCACCACCTCATGCATCTGAAACGCGTAGAAGAGGCCGTCGTCTTCAGTGTCCTCTTCCCTTATCCCACAGAGCTCGAGCGTTATCTGAGGGGGTTCGTTCGAGGAAGCCTGGTTGAAGAGCCCCTTGACCACCCCCCTGGTCCGCGGAGAGAGTCGGGAAATGTTATACTTCAGCCCCGTTGGGGAGGAGACAAGCTTTGTATTTTCCCCCTTCTCGTCCTCTGACTCCTCTCCAGCCTCCCAGTCGCTTGCATCCGAGGAGTGCTCGGAACCGGGCACCGGAGAGCTTCGGCGACCTGACTGCATCCGGCCTTGGTCTCGTGATGGGGCCGAGTTGCACTCTATTGAAAGCCTGCTCATTCCTGTGGTTGGGGACAGGGACATTGGGAGTCCGCAAAGGATTCCGGGGAAGGGAGGCTCGTGGGGCGCAAATGGAGACGACGTTGAGTCAGGAAGCCGAAGGCAGGAGGTGCGTCTGAAGCAAGACCCAGTGTGCGAGAATGCCTTCAGCACTTGTTTAAATGACTCGGAAGGTTGATCAGGAACCGGGGAGCGATTCAGAGTGGTCTGCAGCCCTGGTCGGTCTACCGGGTTGGGCGCAGACAGACTTGAATAGGGCACAGGACTGTTGGTTGACGGCGGGGAAGAAAGACCCGTCATCGCCAGTGATGGGCCCGGTCATTCGGCCGGCGCGATCCGCAGCGATCATGACCCATGGTCAACGGCCATGGCCGATGACAATGGGCTTCTCTTGGATCAGAACCCCTATTCTGGCAACACCTTGCATGCAGACCCATAGGAAAAGGGATGGCAGCCGGAAGGCAACCGGCGGCTGAAGCCTGGAGGACTGGGGGGTGACGCACACGGGGGTGCATGTGTGACTGCAATACTGAAAGTAAATTTGGGACTTGAGCATATCCATGGATCAATGGCTGTCTCATCCCCTAATGTGAGGTTCCATCCTCCCCGTCAAGACACGCAGATTGGCTGACGGCGAGATGAACCAACGTCGACGATGTGGGTTTGTTGGAGAAACGGTCGGCAACCCGCGCCGAGCGAGGCACATTGATCAATCTGCTGTGAGCATTGTTTGGAAGACTGGGACAGGCGATTGTCGAGGGTTGGAGCCGATGCTGTCGATTTGTCATGCGTCATCACGTTGCCCCGGTCTCACAGACCTCCATTGTTTTCCAACAGACGAACCTTGGTTCTCCAGACAGGCGTTTGCAGCCGTTTGGACGGTTGAAATGGCGAAGCAAACTGCTCGGACCTGGTGATGAGCGACTTCAGTGGCAGCCAAGTTCGTGATGCAGGTCACCGGGTTTGATCGGTTGAGTCGACGCATTGCATTCGGAACCACTTGCTTGGGCTAGCAGGCGCGACTTGATGAGCTTCGTTCTGCAGGGCCTCAGCCAGGCCCAGGCTGGAGGCCACCCCCAGCCCCGGGTGGCCCGTGCAGCCACTCCGCCCCCCAGGCCTGGCCTGCCGATTGGCCGAGATTTCCAGCTTCTTGTGGAACTAGCGTCAGCCCTGCCATCCACAGATCTGTGCATCGGCCAACCCGCCAACCTCAACGTCCACGCTCATGCGATCCGCCTAGCCATCCGAATGGGGCAGTAAGCCTTGCGCCATACAAAGTTTGACTTCTTTCTCATTATATAACAGGTGGATGCGGCCGCTTTCTGCGGCCAAGTCCAAGTTTCTTGTTCTTGTCGTTCTTCGCCCTCTCGCCGTCCTCCGCAAGTCGCTTCGCCCTCCTCGGCTGCAGATGAGCCTCTCCCCTTTCCACCAAGCCCGGGGTTTCTTTGCTTCCCCGTCGTCCACAGTGTTTGAGAAGCTGTAGGGGTGGTCAGTTTCTAAGCCTCCCGCCGTCTATTTCCGGCATGTTACGGACCATTCGAGTCAAGTGACAAGCACACTGTGTCGAAGTTGGCCAGGCTTGTTGTTCTTGGAGCTGCAGAGGGTGCCGTCACAGCTTACAATGCCGTCAAAGTTGGCTAGTTATTTTCATGCATATCAAACAAATGCTACGCCTCGCTGTCCCGCCAACTACCCGGATGGGCAGTGATGTTGGTGCCCTCGCCATCCAACCATCACCATTGCTTGGCTTCGTGTATCGTCACTTACTCGAGTCTAGCCGACATCGTGTTGTCTCTCGGTAACACAAAGAAATTCACAGTAATGTACAGTTGAACCCCATACTGAGAGGCTACATTTGGTCATTGGCCAATACACGTATTTTCAAGCCGTTGGCAGGTAGGTCGAGGTCGGCCTGCGTGACGGTCGCTTATCGCGGCTAAGCTGGCCACACACATCTATGACTGTTACCATTATTTCCCGGTTCTGGTAACCGTTGCCTCGTGACATGCCTTCAGATCATGGGGGACCTGGGCTCCCTCGATGTCACACGTAAGGAGGCCTTGACATAGCCGGAATGCGAGTCGAATGCAAGGTATTAGTTGTCTCCCTGGCGTGTGCGGCCTCCTTTTACCAGCCTGCTCGGGGGAAAACATGCCCTGTGCCGCAAGGCCTTTCCAGCCGAAATAAGAGTCACCTGGGATGATGGAATTCAGGGATCCAATGATGGCTTTGGGCTGGGAGTTCACCGATGTCCTCAATCTGCACGCTCGTGGCCGCCGAGCATTACCCCGAAGGGATGCGTCATCCCTTCTTGATCTACCAAGGTCTCTCCCCCTTTTCCCTCTGCCGCGTCTAGCAATTCCCGGTATCACAAGCTCCAACCCTGCGTGAGTATGTCGCCGATTGGCGTTGTGGTGTGAATTAATATCTTTCATGATCAAGGGTGATCAATTCGTCTAATTTCTGACTCCTGCCCCTGCGCCTGCCGCTCCCACCAGACTTCGCACGAGTCTCATTCCAGTTCATGAAGAAGCTGGGCGGGAATCCCGAACCACCATGACGTCGGAGGAAGGCTGCAAATGGCCCAGGGGTTCGGCTGGCAAGCCCATTAGAAGATAATGTAGCACTGCAAAACACAGACTGGGCAATCATGGGGTAATTCGGCATTGGGCAATTGCACAAATCTTGACCCCTGTATGTAGGATAAAGACCAGGTTTGGACTGCCCTCAACCCATAACCCCGTCGCCTTGACCGTCTTCGGGATCGCGTCCCGGGGATGCGGCACCGGACGAGAGGCGGTGCAGGACCCGAATGTAGGTACTGTGATATATCTAGGCCTGCCTGTTGTACTGCCCATTATTAACATAACTTTGAAAGAAGACACCGATGCAGCGCTTGTCCTTTCATGGCGTCCGCGTTCCGGCACAGCTCATCGAGACACCATTTCACATCTTCCGCAGTTCACATGATTTTCTGGGCCGGCTTCGTGTTGGCGGCAACTTGGGATTGAGCGGATGAGGTATTTCCAACACGCAAATTTGTTGGTGACGGAAGATTTGAGGCTGTGCCACAACCGTCTCAAATGGCAAGTGCTGCTCCTTCGAAGCTCGACGGAGTAGGTCCGCAGCTAGTTTGCTCCCACTCATCCGGTGAAGGCGATCCAGCGAGTCTGAAGTCAAGGCGGCCGGCCGGCACTGCCGTTGCCACCCGGAAGAAGCACTTGGGCATCCCAAACACAACTTTCTGTCGGGTACGCCTGTATCGCCGTCTTGCTCGTAAGTCTGTCAATAAATCTAACTCTGACTGTCTAGCTATTCGAGCATGGTTGCCTCGAAGGCAGCAGCCCGAAGTAGCTGGTGCAATTCAGGTACCAACGGAGGTGGCCATGCTGAGCATGAAGAGAAGGGATGAAGTCACGACAGGTAGCAGCTGGATTCACACACGAGCAGCCCACACGTGCAAGCAAACTGAGAGATGGCCTCATACTCTTGTATTGCTACAGCGCAAGAGTGAATTTAAAAAGAAAACCCGAAATATGCTATGCCCTGTATCCTCAACACAAGACGTCAAAAATGCAGCCTAGACAAACAAGCAACCACAACAGGAACCCGGCAGCCAACCCTCCTAGGATGCCTGTCCAAGAGGAGCCGATCCTCGGCCCACCTTCACTCGCAAAAGCCGTGTTTACAAAAGACTAGTAACGCCAACAATAACCCCTTCCATGAACCTAACACAAACCTTCCTCCCTTCAGGCGTTCTGTCCCTTTGGGCCAGCCGATCACGGCTCACCCTCTTCCTACAACAAACACCATCACCGCACCGCGCATCGCCGCCTGGGGTGAGAGTCGAATCGTGTAGGCAGGAGAGCCGCCGGCGTAAGTAAGGACCCAGAAACCGATGAATGGAGAAGGTGTATTGTGAAACGGGTGATGGTAAAGATATAGATGAAGGGATGAAATCCTGCCAGAAGATGCATGCATTATATGCAATATAATGAACGCTCTCATCCTTGAAGCCCAAATCAACAAGACGCCATCCGGTGTTCCCCGAATCTGAAGCAAGAGCAGGCGAGCAGAGCACGCTCCATCAGTCTTTCCGCAACGCCAGGGCATGCAGCATGTATAACCAACAACGAAAGGCACTGTCGGAGGTCATCAGCTGGATATGAGAGGGAAGTGCAGTGTGTCATATCGTCGTAACTCGTCAACGTCGGTTGTGTCGTAAGATAGGCGGCGCGGCGTAGAAAGCAAAAACCACAGTGTAGGGTCAGCTTTAATGCACCCCGCTCACCTTCCGCGCGGTGGCTGCGGACGGTGAGACGTTTCCAACACTGCCGACCCGTCCGCTGGTCTTGCGAACACCAGCTTCCCGAACACTGCCACCAGCGGCGGCACGCTTGGGGCTGCTGCTAGCTCCGCGGACCTTGGTCAGAACGCCCGAGGCCGAGGTGGCGCGCTGGACTTGGTCGTAAGACTTTGTCTTGAGGGCAGTGATGGAGATGTTCTCGATATCGTTCGACGCGTCATTGTCGATGACATGGTAGATGGTGGTTGTCGTCGTCGTTGTTTGATGGCTGACTGACCGTTCCCTGCGTTCTGGCGAGAGCGAGGCGGAGGCCTTGCGACGGGAGCGCATGCGCAGGTTCCACTCCTCGTCGGATTCGTTTCCTTGTGCGAGATGCACCTCTGGCTCTGTACCGGTCTCCTCCTCGACGGTTGATACCGCGTTGGTGCTGCGACTATACGGATGGTGACGGTCAACGCCACCCCGCTGAGTTTTCCGTGGCTGGCCCGGTGTTGGCGCGGGGAGGTAGTCCTCTTGCACGCCGATGTTGTTATCACGTGCCTGTTCCTGCTCGATTTCCCCAAGGGGTGTCCGGGCAGTGCCCCTGTTGGGTGGCGTCGACGTTGCGGTCTTGCTAGCGCTGCGGCCAAGGTGCGTCTTTTGCATGGCACGGATGGGCGTGCTGGGCTGGTGGCTGCCGTTGGCTAGCGCAGTTGCCGCAGCGAGAGCTGCCTCTTTGCGCAGCTTTCGCTCCAGACGCTCCTCCACCCACCACTCCCGGAAGGTGCCCTGGTTCAGGTGGAGCCAGTGCTGTTGAGGGCCGACAACCATGCCGGGGCGCATAAAGCGCATGTACGAGATGATCTCGTTGGCGGTGAAACCGTGGCGGTAGATTAAGTAGGCACCAATCAAGCAACCGGTGCGGCCAAGACCGGCCTTGCAGTGGACGGCAATCCCCTTCTTCTTAACCGTGATCATGTCGTGCGCCATGCGGATAAACTTGCGCACCATAGACAAGGGTGGGCAGGTGCCGTCTTCGAAGATCATGTCGATGTGCTGGATGCCAAGCGCCTCAAAGTACGAGGCATCGTAGAGGACGGAATTCAGACGCACCACGAGGCCAATGTTCCTCTCAGTGAAATGCCTCAGTACGTTCTTGAAGGGTTGCGCCAGTGTCGGGTGAGCATCCACCGCCTCCAGGGTCTTTGGCAACGCCTGCCATGCTTCGGTTCCCTCAATGGTCCGAGCAGAAGGGTTGCTCTGCGGCGAAGCAAAGGCGAGGAAGTGGGGGGTTATCCAGTTGAAGTCGCCCTGCTCAACCCGCTCAAAGCGCTCATACTCGTCGAGGTCGAAGCTCTCGAGAAGACAGCAGCCCTCCTCCTTCGCCTTCCAAACCCCATAGACAACGTCCTGCACGGTAATGCCGTAGTCTGCTTGACTATAGCCGGCGTCTCTGAAGGGCATCAACGGCGGGTCGACTTGGGCGACGGGGGCGAGAGCGAGATGGGGGGGCCACGATTGGATGAGCACCATGTAGCATGCCAGCAAGCAAGAAGCGTTGGCGCGGCCTGTTGGATATTTCAGTAAGCGCCATTCAGCAGAGTCGATGGGGAGCCGGAGAACGTACTGCGAGGGTCCGCCCTGCTCCAAAAGACAATAGGCCTGTCCTTGTTCTCCTTGGCGCCCAAAATCTCGTGGAACTGCAGGGCAAAGCGGTAAAGGTGGCCAATGTGCAGCGGGCCGAAGTCATGGTGAAAGGCGTTGTACAGGAGGCTGTCGTCCACAGTGAAGTAAAAGGGTTGTCTCTGGTTCACGGTGGGAGCCGGGGACTCGACAGTTCGTTGCGATCTCTTGCTTGGCGAACGCGGAGGCGGGTTGGGGTAGGGGAAGAGGGTGTTGGCATCGGGGGTTTCGACGTAGGATGCGAGGTAGAGGCGATCTGTCACGGTCAGCGACGTTGTGGGAGAGAAGCAGTTGAGGGAATGTTTGGCGTTCATGCGACTGCGCCTCATGGTCGACGGGGGCGCGCAGGAACAACAATAACAAATGTGATGGGGCCCCGAATGCGACCACTGACGAAGGGACGACAGAAGTTGAAAACGCACCAGGAATATACTCGATAACCTGTCCCAGATTACTGGGGTAATGAGAAGGAGCCATGCTGTTGAGGCTCTTGGCTGCCGCTCCGAGTTGAGGAAGGGAGTGTTGCCGCGCACGCGGGCATTCACGGATGAGGAGGGCCGCAGAGATGCGATGCGCCGAGTCTGAGAGTCAAGCGCCTGGCTACGGCCAAATGCAGAAGCTCTCCCTTGTTGCGCTCGTTCTTTGCCTCGGTAAGAGACGCACGGGCAAGCAAACACAGCGGAGTCGCAGATGCGCGACGGTGTCAGGGTCGAGGAAGGAACAACAATCGTCAACCGGGTGCATGCAACTCAAAGGCTAGAAGCTGTGGAGACGGCAAGCTGCGTCAATGTCGTATGCAATTGGGAAGGAGAAGAGGGGGGTAAGTAATGGTTGCGGTCGAGGTTTTGTAATGGGTGCGATTGTTTTTGCTGCTGCTGTTGTTATGGCCCTGCCTCAGGGACCTGCAAGGATAAGGGCGTTGGCGGCCAATCAGAGCAGTGCATTTTATTTTTTTCCCCTGGTCGCCATGGCAACAAAGCTCAGACGAGCCCAGGCCGCGGTGGAGTCATCCGATCCGCCAATGTTGGCCGTTACACATATATCCGTTATCTTATCTGAGCGGTGCCCCACCATGAAATCATCCCTCTTACACAGTAACCGTTACAGCTTGGCATTTGGACCATGTCATCGATAACCTCAAGACAGACATCGAAGCCGCCCAAGTTCGTCAGTGCTAGCGCAACCATGGCGACCGACACGTCGAATGCCTTTCCTTGCGCGCTGTAGGTCACAAAATGAGACATATTCGATCAAGCGGAAAAGAGTGTCTCTGTTTGGACCGCATTACCTCGCTGACTGCTGTTTCGATATAGGACGCTGGACATCCCCTTCCCCGACGCGCGGCTCGCCTCGGTGGCTCTTCAGGCGCTGAGTGTTGACAAAGAGCTCTCTTCTCTGGTCAAGCGCGATCTGACTGCCGTTACTGCCGAAGGGTCATCGGACCCAACCGTCCTGCGAGTCGAGTACAAGGCTGCAACGAATCGCATGCTACGCGTCGCCGTCAACTCCTTCCTTGAAAGCCTGGCTTTGGTTTTGGAGGTACAGGAAGAGCTCGATGTCGATGCGGTGGAGGCACTTCATGCACAGGGAGCCAGGGGGTGAGGGCGAAGCGGGCGACGGAATGTAACACACCAACTGCTTTGCCGCCATAACCAGCCGCTCAACCACGCTGCGCCAGCCTCCAAGGCTGATTCACTAACCCCCGATCTCACATAGGGATGGGGAGAGTGTGTATGCGCAGGCCACGTAGCATCGCGGCGCCCATGTCCGTTGCTCGCGAAACTGGCGGCAGAACAGATATCGGCCTACCGGAAGGGGGTATCATGGTATTCAGACCTGTAAACACATCACTAGAGTCCATCCAACAACCCATCGGTTGCCTTCCGATCACGGTTGTTCTTCTTTGACGTGCAATCCAGGCGACGCCTCACTGGCCCCAATACGTCGTTGCAATTCCTCATCCGCCATCGCAGCATCAGGAGTACCGTCCTGTTCATCATCTCCGTTAACCCCGTCTATGCCCTCACCAACACCGTTTTCCCGCTTGAGACGGCCACCCCTCGGTCGGTGTCTGAACACCTTGATTAAGTTATCCTGTCCGGCGCTCGCCATGGTGCTGCCGTGAACGTCAACCCAGAAACACACCCCCTTGTGCGCGCCCTTGATTCGCTGCACTACCGCCTTGCTCGCGACGTCCCACATGACAATATCCCCGTCCTCGCTGGCTGACGTAATGAACGCTTGCTGGCGGATATTGCCATTATCGTCTGCGTCTTCCCCAGCTCCATCGTCGGCGTCGGTGAGAACGCCGAAGCACCCCCCGATCGAAAATCCCTTATTGGTGTGGCCCTGGTATGTCTTCTTGACGGCACCAGAGACGTAATCCCACAGTCGTATAGAGTGGTCAAGGTTGAAGGCCAGAACGAATCGACCATTCGGGCTGAAACAGACGTTGGTAACCGCAGGGTTGTCTTCGTGCACCAGAGTCCGCAAGCACTGGCCGGTGGACGTATCCCAGATGCGGCTGAGATAGCCGGTTGTTAGCAAACCATTCCCCGTGGAGAGGTTGAAACGAACCAGGACACTCACATCAACCCGTCGGTAGAACAGCTCACCACCAACGTCCCGTCCCTGCAAAAATCCACCCCGCTCACAGGGTCGCTATGCGCGGGCAGGCTCCTCATCAGCCTTCCGGCCCTTACATCCCACAGAAACACAGCCTCGTCGTAGCTCCCGCTCGCCAGGATATTCCCCTTGGGTGAGAACGCAAGGCAATAAACATAGTTGTGATGCCCCAGCAGCGGGCCCCGTCCCGTCCTCCCGCCCCTGACTCCCTCCCCGGGGACACCTGTCCGGGCTCTCCTCGCCGCGGCCGCTTTCCCTGTCAGGCCCTTCATCACTAGCCCCGCCGCCGCCCCAGGGTTCTCTCGGTGGGCGACGGCATGCGCGGGGCTACCGGTGACGCGGTCCCAGAGCCGGATCGCCTTGTCATCGGAGCCAGTAGCGAGGGTGTTGCTGTCGGGCGCCCAAGCCACGCACGAGACGCCCGCCATGTGGCCGACGAGTGTTTCGAGGTGGGCGCCGGTCGCGGCGTCCCAAATCTTGGCTGTGCCGTCGGCCGAGGCCGAGGCAATCCATCGGCCATCGGGGGAGATGCGCACTTGGGAGACGGCGCGGGTGTGGCCTTGGAGGACGAGGTGGGGTTGGTAGTTGGGGATGATCGGAATTTGGTCGTGGCGGTGGTGGTTGTTGGGTTTGGCATGAAGATTCGCTGAGAGTGGAGAGGCGGAGGAGCGACTCCTGCTTCTGCTTCTGCTTCTGCTTCGCGAGCGGCTGCGGCTGTGGCTTGGGGATAGAGAGCGCGAGCGCGAGTAGGAAGCGCTTCGCGAATGGGAACGTCGTCCGGGTGGCGACCGAGAACGACTGCGGGACCGCGAACGGGATGTCGAGGGAGAGGCCGAGGGAGAAGAGCGGTATCGTCTCCTGCCGCTGTCACTGCTTCTGTCTCTGGTTCTGCTTCGTGATCGGCTGCTGGGCGGACCATGCCGAATGGAGAGGCTCTGGTCGGGAAGGCGGCTAGTGTTTGGCGCGGGGCTCTGGGGTGCGCCATCAGGCGACTCAAAACATGACGGGGTGGAATCGACGCTGTCATCTTGTACCCTTCGCCGTTTTGATGGAGGTTCTGTAGCTGGCAGCGCCGTCTCCGGGCTGATTCCCGCCATTTTGGGGTTGAGCTATGTGGTGGTGATGACTATCCGTAGGTGTTCAGATATTCACGGCTTACACCAGCTGGCAGTCGAAATTGCGGTTTCCACGTCGCGTGAGTGCCGTGGTTCTGGGTCAACCTCAAAGCAGGAGAACCTCACTAAATTTAGTGGATCTCGGCTTGGCTCCCTGCCCTTTCACCGATTGGCCAATCAGGTCATCACCCCTGCGCTGAGACTAGCAGCAACTCAAATCGACTCGGACAGTCCGGGGGCTTCACTCAGAGTGAACAAATCCGCTCGTACCTTAGTTGTGGCGTTTGCCCTGGTTCATGCTCGCAGCTGTGATGTCAAATAGTCAAGCTTCTAGACCACTCGGATCGTCCGTATATAAGCCCATTTTCTTCCAGTCGCGCCGGGAAATAACTGTCGTTGCTTTATTGTCAGGCGGTCTAAAATTGGAAACACTCCGAGGCAGATCATCATCTCATCCAGGATCTAGATAATACCGACGGCAGTGTACGTGGAGTAGGCACGCTTTCCGCTCCTTCAACTCGACCCGCACCAACTCACTCATCGTCACCAAGAGACCGAAATGCAGGGCCTGCCAGATTTGCCGGACGAGATCAACCTCGTGACCCTCAACTGCTGGGGTCTCAAGTACATCTCCAAGCTGCGTCGGGAGCGCTTGGCTGAGATCGGCCGTCAGCTCGCCATAGCCAGTCCCCAACCGCATATCGTCGCCTTGCAGGAGTGCTGGACGCAGGAGGACTACCACAGCATCCGCCGCCAAACCCGCTTTATCCTGCCTTATGGCAAGTTCTACCACAGCGCCGCGCTGGGCGGCGGCCTGGCCATTCTCTCGCGCTGGCCCATCGAAGAGAGCTCCATGTACCGCTACCCGCTGAACGGCCGTCCGACGGCTTTCTGGCGCGGCGACTGGTACGTTGGGAAGGGCATCGCCTATGCCAGGATACGCTACGGCCCGGACGCGAAACACGTTATTGAAGTGTTCAACACGCACACCCATGCCCCTTATGAAGGCGGGAAGCCGAACGACACATACCTCTGTCATCGGACGGCCCAGTCGTGGGAAATGGCTAAGTTACTTCGAGGCGCAGCTGAACGGGGCCACCTTGTGCTCGCTATGGGCGATTTTAATATGATTCCCATGTCTCTCGAGCACCAGCTCGTCACCGCCCTCGCCCCTGTTAGGGATGTCTGGCGGGTTCTGCACCCGGACAGCTCACTGGGACCGTCCCATCACCCGGTTGAAGAGGCTCGTCGCCGCCCGATTCCCACCGCCGAGTTCAACATCCACGAGAACGGGGCTGCGTCGGACGGCCCCTATAACACCTGGCGGTGGACCAAGTCACAGCAGAAGCTCATTGGGCCCGGGAAACCACCAGTGACCGTTCCTCCAGACACCCCCGGTACGGCCGTTCTTTCTTCTCTCTGTCCAGTCTATTACTGACTTCCCTAGACCCGCTTGGCAAGCGGCTGGACTACATCTTTGCCGGCTCAGGTGACATCCATGCCCTGGGCGGCGGCTGGGTCGTGAAACGGGCCAACGTGGGCATGATGATGCGGCACCCCGAGCTCGGCTGCTCGCTGAGCGACCATTTCGCCGTCGAAGCGACCCTCGCCTTTCATCCGTTCCGACAATCCGGGCCCTCGCCACCACTGCCCGGATCCCACTCCAACACAGTCTCCAACCGCGACTCCACCACCCCCACAGCAGCCGGCACCCACGACCCGGTCCCGACCACCCCCGAGAAATCCACCACCGACTCGGCCCTCCACAACGGCGCTTACCTCCAGCTCCAGCAGTCTCCCACCCCAAGTCTCGCCCACCTCGCCGAGACAACCTACCACGCCCAACTAGCCTCCTTCCTCTCCTCCTCCTCCTCCCCAGACACCCTCCCGTCCACCGCATACGAGACCATTCTCTCCCTCATCAAGTCCTACACGGCGCGCGAGGAGCGCCAACTCACCTGGCGCGCACGGCACTTCTTCGCCTCTCTGCTCGTGACCGCCGCCTGCCTCGTCGGCGTCTGGTTCACCCCCTGCGGCAAGAACTACGTCTCGTTCATCCTAATGCTCGTCAGCACGCTGGGCTTGGCAGCGGGCACGGTCGATGGGCTGATGGCGTTGCTATTTTTCCGCAGCGAGCTGAAGGCGCTGCGCGAGTTTGAGTGGGAGGTGCGCAACGCGAAGGACTTGCTTTTTGGGGGCGGGGTTCAAGAGGGACAAGGGGGCGGGGACTGGGATGGGGCTGAGGGCGAGAGAGGGTGGTGAGATGGGGAAGAAGGCGCCTGTACCTTAGGGTGTAGGTAAATGTTAATGTGTACGTACCTTATGTGCCTTTGGGCGTAATGTAATGTTCTGACATGAGAAACCAGAATATGCCACTTGAATTCGAGGGAGCCCGTGCCATCGCGGTTAGGGAAACGCTAAAGGAGGTATGATGCAGTATGATACATGAATTTCGCCTCAAGAAATGTTTTGATCCGCCAATATCTTCGGCCTCGTCACCTTCTCTATGTTGTATATATGAACCTGGTACCCATGCCCTGCCCAGGCAAAGATTGTCATAATTCCCAATTACTCTGTGGATCTAGATCCGCTGCATTGAGAGCTCTTTCTTGATTTCGTCGGCGGTGGCACATGGCTGGCTTATCCCGGCTGAAAGAACTTTGGTCTTCACAATGCGTCTCGGCTGCCCCGATCTGAGCCTTCCCAGGGGAGGCAGCGCAGCACCCACCTAGGTCAGCTCAAGTCTCGGAACCGCTCCAGCTCAACCAAGACGTCTTTCAACCTAGGTCGCTTGAAATGATTCCCATCCCATTGCCCGGCAGCCTTGCGTTCCTCCCTCAATCTGAGGAACTCTTCGGCGACTTCAACTTCGTTTTGCCACCACTCCCGAGCAATACGAAGCACCTCCTCGGCGGTACAACTGTCCTTGTCGCGTACGACGAGCTTACTACCCCGTCTTATAATCAGGTTCGACAGCACGTCACGCCTGCCTCTTGTACAGCGATCGATAAGATCCCTCAGCCCGCACGGCGTCACCCGGAAGTCCGGGAACTCGATGTCCGGCTCGTAGCGATACGATTGCCAAACGGCAGCTTTGTGTGGTGCGCTCTGGCCCTCAAAGATGCACCACAGTACTCGTCCGAGCATATAGACCATGGCAGCCTCCTGCTCCGTTTCGTCCAGAGCAAGCCAGGCAATGTTGTAATTGGCATATCCATGCGGCCGAGGGGAAGAATAACCCTCACACGTCTGGAGGACATCCCAACCAGGAAGGAGCCGGCTGAGGAGGGCGGCGAAATGGAAACGAGTCTCTTCGGGAATGGTGCAATTCGCTTCGTCCAAGTCGTCGCTGGCCAGGATACGTACGTACTCGATGGCATTGACCTCCGGGGCGGCAAACTCGCACCACACCCCGCGCTGCTCAAAATCGACCATGACAATGTCATGGGATGCTGATAGGAGGATATTGTCCAGCCGTAGGTCGGGGTAGAACATGCGGCAGCGCTCGGCGATGTGCAAAACGGCCGAGGTGAGTTGTATGGCCCATTTCACCTGCTCTCTCAGGGCAAGGCGACCGTGAACCCGCAGAAGTGGCAGAGTATCTCGGACACTGCCGTTCCTGTGAAAAGGAAGGAGGAAGCCGATTACTGCCGTCTTCCCGCCGAACAGGCAGCGCTTGGTGACGAGGTATTCCGGTCTCGAGATGATGTTAGGATGCGGCTGCATCTGCAGCAGATTCCGCAGCTCCACGAACAGGTATTTAGTGCTACTGGACAGGGCTTTGAGAATCCACAGCTTGTCTGTGCCGTCCTCTCCTCTGTGGTCGCGCATGCGCACAAGACAGACGCTGTCATACATCTCCTGGACAATGCTTAGGCGCGAAATATCGATGGCCTCAGGAAGAAGTCCAGGAGAAAGCGCCAGGGCCTCATCCAATCTTGCCAACCCGAGCAACTCCCTTTCCAAATAGTACGTTGGCACGACTGAGATCCTTGTCTTCCGTATATCCATGGAGAGAGTGTCGAATATGATGCGCGAGCCAAATGGCAATGCATTTAACAATGTCGAATACGCATCATGGCCCATGGTCGTGACCCAGGCCTGCAGCGCGCGTACAATGTGCCTGGAAATGCCAAGCCGACGGAGTCTTGGGGCATCCTTGGTGTGGAAGGCGACATTCAGATCCAGCAGCTGGCGGAGAACGCGCGACGCGACGGCCTCGTCAGGGATGAACACATCGAAGCGCATGGGCGGAGGGAAAGGGAGGAAAAGCGGCACGACAAAGAACTGGGTGCCCAGGCCCGTGCCGCCGTCAATCCTCCAGAGGGGTTTCACGGGGAAATCGAGGCTGTCAATGCGGTTCTTTGGGTTGAGTTGAGATTCATCCCACGAGACATCAGGGGCTGCCGTGGTCATGCGTTTGGACAATGATGACCCTTGCGAGAAGGCAGCCGTGGGGTGGGTGACATCGTGGATCGCTGCTGAACCGAGCTCCATGGCAAAGAGGGTGAGACTGGATCGAGGGCTGTTGTTTAGGGAGTGAGCCAGAAGAAGGTACCATGCTGAAGAACGCTGACAACCACCAACCTGAGAGGTCTGGAACCCCTGGCCCGGACTGCCAGCAACAGACAAGCCGTGAGTCCAGGTGGCGGCCCGAGTCACAACGTTTAGTTGACATTACTTCCAAGTCGTTGGGCATTCATGGGCTGCAGGCTCCCGAAAGAGCTCAAGGCGCGGAGAACGGGCACTTCACCGGTCCGGATTTCGGCGTCCTCCCGCGACCCTTGGCTCGCGGAGGCGGGTTCTCGTTCTTTCTGTTCAAATTCTGGCCGGACTGGCGCTTCGGCTAACGGTAGGAAAGTTGCTGGGTGAGTTTCGTCTTCCCTCGACTTTGAAAGGGGAAAAACGAAATCCAGCGGTATTTGAGACATGGTTAGCCCTATCTGATTGGCTATCGTATTTTCCATGCCCGGGGTCCGTAGTCGGTCCGGATGCAGTCAGGGTCCGGAGGTGAGCAGCCGGGCCAGGAGAGGGTGGAGACATGCTTTGGGGCCGGGTACTCCGAACAAGTACGGAGTTGTGGTGGACAGCATGTGCCGGTTGACCCTGTCATATATCAACATCCATGCAATGCCCGTTGCTGGCATGGCCGACTGCGGTGCCGATGCCATCCACGTGTATGAAGCCTGAATGAAAGAAAAGTGCCAAGGCACCTCGTGGGCATGTCCGCAACGGAACAACACTCCACCTACGCTGGCCGAAGAATTAACATGGTTCAGTTGGGCGGCCAATGCCGGCGTCCTGGCCATGGCTTGCATAAGGTTGACTTTGCATAGCTGGGAAAAGCCAACAAGATCCTGTCGCGATGCTGACCTGGGAGTTGATGCCCCGGGGAAGAGCAGGAGGTTGTCCACAAACACTGTCCGGTGGAGCCTCAAGTCTGGGGGTTGACGAGAGTGGGATTTCGCTGCTCCAACTCTGCCACAGCCACGCATCAGCCAGCAAAAGTGTATTGTACCTCACATGCTATGGTGAAAGCACAGTTTAGCAAGGCTACTTGAGCAGAAAAGAGCTGAAGGCAAGCGGCAAAGGGAGCCGCCGTAACTGGCGGGAACGACGTCAGGGGTTCCGGGGCTCATCGAGCATTCTTGTTCCAGCCTTCAGGCGGATCTTTGTCATCCCTTCTAGCCTAGGTATCCAACTCTACTAAGTGAAGCGTTCAGCGAGAGGCTCGTCAGCCAAGCAAGGGTAATGATCCCGAGAATGTGGGAGAGGCATCATCGGCCGCGTTTGGTTTCTTGTCTCCCAATTTCAGGGCAGGCTAACGTCGGGGGCCAGTTCCATCCAAAAGGGAGGCACTCCTGGTAGGCGCGTGGTCTACATACCGTTAGTTATCATACCTCGACTTCTCCATTGCGGCATACTCTATTGGCTATCACCCAACCGACTCGCTGCATCCTCCTCAGAGTCTGGGCGAGGGAGAGACGACCTATCTCGGAAACTCCGAGAATCTGGGAAACACGGCGTCTCAGCTGATAAAGTCGAGCTTTTGGCGTCGCACAGCAGCTCAACGCCAGCCCCCATCCAAGGACCAAGATCAGGAAGCTGCAGGAGCTATCCGTACTTGTACACCGGCGTGGGGGATACACGTAGCTGTGATGAGACCAATATTTCGACGCCACACCAAATGTGTATCCCGCCGAGTGGTTGGCACTGCTTGTGAGGCAAACGCCACCCCATCCCACTCTTGCTACTCGGGCTTCTTCAGCGCAGGGAACAATGGAGGTAGTACGTACTACTCCGTAGAGCACTGATGAATGCCGTGACCATTTTGCAAACTTTGAAGTCGAGTTGACGGGGCTGCGGATACCGGTGAAACCAGCCGTCTCTCGGTTGCAGGACCCGAGCCGCCTTGTGCTTGAGGGACCCGCTATACCTGCAAGCTAAATTGACCGGTGAGCAGGGGGTTGGTCAGCCGTTTCTAATGGGTGGTCAGGACCCACAACCACAACAGGCGAGTTGCAGCGGCCTTGATGGTCGGTCGGAAGAAAGTCATGATAAAGAGCAAACTCACTGAGCATCCTAAAGTGACCGGATGGATGTTGCGTGGGTAATTCGCCGAGTATACTATAACTTTGCTGTGTAATCCGTACTCCGTATCCCGTCTGTGGTTGTGATTGAGATTGGCCGTAAAATTGAAGTTTCTTACGTAACCTGGACAACGTCGGCCACGAGCTCGAAATTACACAGCAGACGGGAGCCTTCTTCTGTCCTTTGGCCGGCTTAACCGTGTGTTCCTAAAGGGGTAACAATCCTCGTGGGCTGGAGATTCGGTTCGTTCCTTTGGTTACGGGCATTGTCTTCTCTGTCTTTCCGTGGACGCCCAGTGCTCCCTTTGAGGCCCTGAAATGCCGTTGAGAACTTGCCCTGATGAAAAGTGCTCGCATCCTGCAAGTGGGTCCTTGGTCGAATCAACTCTGAAGGGTTTACGGAAGCTCGGGAGCCAGTGCAGCAACTCAAATGCAAGTCAGTCGCGCGTGAGCTTCGACGGTTTGGGATGAGCTCTCGGTTTAGTGTAATAGACCCCGGAAATCAGGTGCACCCTTGCCTTACATTAGCGCATACGCAGGAATAAGATCAGGGACGAGCTCGTTGACGTCGGCGAACGATCGGATGTCCTTTCGACAGAGGCCTGAGCAATCCATGCCCATGTCGGTAACGTTATTCTGAGTCCCGTCCCACGAGAGATTGAAGCGGTGTGGCTGCCACGTGAGGTGGCGGCACAGCGCGGAAAGCAGCCGAAGTCCCGTCTTGAAAGCGCTGGGAGCGACAGTGTTGTTGATGATGCTCCAAGAGAGCTGTAGCCAAAGTCGTTCCGTCTTTGTTGTCTGGCTGCTGTCACGTCCAAATCGGTTGCGGCTTGGCGACATGGGACGCTTAGCACAGGGAGGACTCGGCTTCGCAAGCCAACCGGTAAGGGCGGGGGCACTTGATTAACAGTGAACAACACAACAGCTTCGACTGCGTTGAGAGTCTCAGTCCTTGCCGCCTGGGCCCTCTTCGACCTTAAGATACAGCTTCAGCGCGAGAGACGACGAGGCCACGCAGATACCTACCTACGTCCATAAAGCTGCCCACGTCGCGCCAAGTCCGACAAGCGCACTAAAGCCGGGACGCTAGAACTTTCCCCGCTGCTTCTCGAAATATGCGATTGGCTGTTGACACGGACCATGCTGTCGGTTTGCACATTTTCTGGGACTCTCAAAAGGCGAGATCTGAGAATGAAGACGGGTGAGATGAATCCGAGGGTGGGTATATTCCTGCAGTTATACGCCCACACAGGACACGACATGCCTAGAATCTCTGTCGGCTGTCAATATGGCGGACTCTTAAGTACCTAGGTAGAAGTTCTGCGGTGCCCACACCGCACACCGCAGTAGCATGACAAGTGCCGCCCTGTGCAACCTAATCGTGCAACGCGCTGTGGCCTGGTGACGGACCATTTTTCGGGACACCCAGGGCAGCTTGGCTCATGGCGCGGTCGCATTCAGCTTCCCGCCATTGCACTCCCCTGTTCGGATTTCCGCGCTCACTGGTCGCTGCTTCCATTCCCCGCGACCGGTGAATCTCTCTCCTTCCACTTCATCTCCTGACAGCTCTCACCGATTCATTCTTTCTTTGGCAGCGAACGAGACCATAGCATTCTTCACCGGCTGTCCAAGACTCCACCGAGCAACAACCACGACCCCATCCCGGTCTGTGCCGTGAGACATCGCGCGTATTACCTGCTCTGCGGACCAAACTGGGCAAAGGAGTGAGAGGACGGATCCCGAGGCCACCATTGGACACCACCCAGCGGCAGACACAGCAAACCACCGCCGACGAGCGAACCGAGTCGGACCTCGAGTCACTTCGTCGGGAGCTGCGCAGGGTACGAGCCAGCCTCAGAACCGCTCGCCCACCAGTCAATTGCGCTCCCAATCGGCAGCATCGCCAGCATCGGTGGTCGCCCAACTAAACCTCCAGAAAGTCAAGCACCTCTGGTTGGGATGCAGTGAGCGTCTTCGCTGGCCGCATATCGCCGCGACCACCCGAGAGCGTTTCACCTGCTCCGACCACGTCGCCGGCTTGCTTGTCCGAGCCCGAGTACCTTGCACGCCCGCACCCCGGGACCGCACTAGCCGAAGGGCAAATTAGCCCCCCCAAGACACTTGGGCACGGCCCTTTGGGGTGGTGGTAGACGAGCAGCAAAGTTGTGCTACTTGTCGTCTTTGGCTGTTTCTTCCTCGATCTCGTCACCCCCTTCCCCCCCCACCGTCTCTCTCTGTGCGCCTCGTTGCGGCTCCTGCTCGGGTACCGCGCTCTCCACGCTTCCTGCACGACTGTCTCGTCCCTTTGTGGCGATGGCTCGTCCGTGAGATGCTCGGCGGCCCTGGGCACCCTTCCCTTCCCCTCCCTCCCCACGCATGGACGTGCCTTCGGAGCGGCTCACCCCAAGTGGCCTCTTGACGCCTTCCGGTGCTGGCTATGCAGCTTTCCCTGTCGCCCCTTGCATACCGGGTACCTCTCCACCAAGTGGAATCTGGTTCGAAGGTTCCCTCGGACTAGCCCAACATAATCCCCCCCGGTCCGTCTCCATGATGGTAAGAAAATTTCATCTTCTCTACCCACAGTATAGGGCTGGGCGGCACTGCGGCAGGGTGCATGGCGGAAATCACCGATTGTCCTCGTGGCTGCTCCAAGTCATGTCTTCGACCTTCCACTCGCACCATGCACCCCCCCACTCGTGTCACTTACACACATCCATTCCTGCTCCAGCCCTCTCCGGTTCCTCTCCCCTGCCCTGTACCGTCACGTCCTGCCTCACCGGTCCGCGCCCCATCTCCTCAGCTCCCTTCTTAATTCGCCAAATATGCGGTGAAGTTGACAGTGCTGTCCCAGAATCCCAACCTCAGAAAGCGGCGGGCTTACGGCCACGACGAGGTCCCTGCTACTCCAGTGGTGCATGGCTGGACTCAGCCGCCAATTGACCTCGACACGCTGTCCTTGCCTGTCGAGCATCGCTATATACTAGACCAGGGTGCTCTGTCTTATGTCCTCACGCCGTCCGACACTTTCGATCAGCGGCCTCAGTATGCCCTGGGGCGGACCGCCTTCTTTCTGAGCCCGCCCGTAAATGCTCAACTGGCCTTCAGCAACCCGCAGTACCCCTATCCAAACAATCAAGAGCAGCCAAACCTGGTTGCACAGCATCACTCGCACAAGAGACCCCGATTGAACCAGAGCATCCCGATGCCGGTATCGTACTCGGACGACCTCCCTGTGCCACATGGCCAGGAGAAGACGCCTCTGGGCATCCAGCCGGATGGCGGTACGAACGCTGGCCGCAAGTCTTACGGGCTGCTTCCCGGAAGGAGCCTCTCATCGGGCTGGACGGGCGCCCGGCTGGCCGATTGTTTTGCGAGCATTTCCATGTGCTCGCCGTTTGAGTCACAGCAATGTACGTTTTTTGATGCTGCGAGTTCATGGCCAGCAATGCTAACCGCATCGCCAGCGTGCGAGTCACTCGCTTCACCCCCGTCGTATGACTACCAGGACCACCGGCCACCGGCGTTGGAGACCACTGTCGTCTCAGCTCAGCCTCAGACCTCTCTACTTCCTACACCCGTGAGCCCGGATTCGACTGCGCTCTTCCTGTGTGACGATCCTGCGATGATGGCCCAGTATCTTGCAAGCTATCCTCCATTGCAGCCCGAGCGGGTCATGGATGTTCAGCCTGCCATCAGGAGGGAAGAAATGATCTACCCGGGCGTCTCGGCAACTGTCAAGTTCGAGTGCGACCAGCCTTATTTGGTTGACACCTCGGTGCAGGCGAGTTCTTTACCAGGCGCTTACGGTGCGACAGGCGCCTCTTCGCCCTATGACGGGCGCGGTATCGCCATGAGCTTGTCCTCACACTTCAATCCGGTGCAAGGTTTTGACGGCAGGTCAACATCGGAGCATGCGCCTGCCCATGACGAGCCTACGTCTGTGGATTGGTTCCCTGCCCCCAAAGCAACTCCTGTCAAGCGCGGCCCCTTCAAGGATCAAGATTCGCGAGAGAAAACGGCCCTTACCAGGAAGATGGGCAGCTGCATTCGATGTCGAATGCAGCGGATTCGCGTAAGTACTTGCCAGTGCTCCGCAGAATCCCGATCAACCTTGTGGCGCAGGCACGCTCTAACTGTCCGTCGCAGTGCAACCTTGACCCAGAGAATGAGAGAGGCCCGTGCTTGTCATGCAAGAAGATTGCGAGCAGTGCAAAGGTGTATCGGCTGAACTGCCTGCGTCTGAAGATCACCGATGTGAAGCTTTTTAAGCCTGGCCAGGTCAAGGGGCAGGAATGGACCAACCGATGGAAAGACAGCGTGATGGACGACATCGGCACCTGGGAGTCGTCTCAAGTACGAACAATTGAGGTCACGGAGGGTTACACGGGCCGATCGGTCAAGCTGAAAGTCCGGCAGTTCAGACCGCAAGAAGGGGACAAGGTGAAGCGATCATGGGTGTCAAAGAACGGCAACCGATACGAGGTAGAAGTCCCGGCCTTTGCCATTGTAAACCTGGACGACGCCAAGGCCGAGTTTGATCAGTACATCAAGATTGGCCAGGCCAACTGCTTTCAGCGCTTGATGGGTTCACGAGACGAACTGCTCTGGCAGACGTATGAGTTGGCCATGAAGGCGGCAGGGGACCTCTCAAAACCACTTTCGGAGAGGAGCCTGCTGGTGGCGACTCTCGATCTCTGGATGTCTGTCCGGCTGACGACCAAGTCGTTTGAGATTGTCGGCGATGATACATTGGGCATGCCCAGGGACATCATCAAGGACCAGGACAGCGCGCTGTACCGCAAAGTTCCCCTCCCGCCGGTGATGGGGGCGCAGATTGATTCGCTGCTCATCCACCAGATCCAGCCCCGACTTCGTCGGAAAGCGCTCGAGGAGCTGCAAAAGATGACGCAAGAGAAGAAGCAGAAAACGTGGCTCACGACGTATCTGGTGACGTTCATCCTGTTGCACAACATTGCCCTAATTACCAAGCACGATGCAGACTATGCCAGAAAGCACGGCATGCCGGTGAGCTACCTGGGGATGTTCCGAGGCAGCGGGGAAGCGGACTAACGGCGACCACCACAGACGCGGTTCGCGAGAGAGGCCAATGTCAAGGAGTACAACGCGGGTGAGTGTGCCACGACGGGCGTTGCGATACAGGGCTTGGCCACTGATGCGGTACCATTTAGGTGCGAATACGCTGCTTGCCTACTTTCACTACTGCAACAAGGCTATCTACCCATTCTCTTCTGAATGCAAGGACCAAGATCTTCAGACATTAGCGGAGCTCAACGATGAGGAATTCTCGTTCGTGCATAGGACCAGACGCTGGGTCGCTAAGCGCAGTGAGTCAGTCCCTAGTCCTTGTCGAGCGTGGGGCCGTCTCTTAACAAACGTTGTGGCAGAAAACGAATGGGAAACCCTCTGGGCTCACGATGAATACGAGAACGAGTTCTACTACCTGAGCCAGCTCTTTGAGCACAACTGGCAGCCCCGGACCATGGCCTAGGGAGACTTATTGGGCGTCACTTGGCGGCTCATGCCAGCTAACTACACAGTAACTTTAGCTTGGCCAATTCCCATGGAAGAAGAGGGGGAGTGTGGATTGCGCGGTATGCATGTGCAACCAAGGAGGAGCCCGGGATGGTGTTCTTTGGAGTTCACCATCTCTCGAGAGGGGCCTAGACTCTGATTTACAGTATGGTTGGAGTACGATATTTCTAGAACTGGTTTTGGATGGCAGCTAACAGGTCGCCGACGAGGGGAGGAAGCGCTTGTGTTTCCCTATTGACATCAGGATATACTGGTGCAGGTACGTCAAGGCTTAACATGATGTCCCGAGCATGTACAGTATAACTCACCTGGGGAGAATGCTCAACAAACTTTCCAGGCTTCATCATGGGCCCAGTCCCTCTGCATGCTTCTCGACCTGCAGACACTTGCGCATTTTCAAATCCGCATGAAGCTGTTGTGCTAAGCCAGCTGGCATATCCATGCTCACCATGTTAGCAACCAATCGCGGGAAGGGCGCGCTGTCCCGGTGCATTCCGCATGCAGATCCCCAGTTTTGTGCTCCACTATCTCCCGAGACTGGCATGGCGGCATGCTCCCAGCACCAGGGTTGTCCCCCTGCGAACCCCCTGCGGAATGGCAACACAGATCAGATCTCTCACTTGATCGGGTCCGATCTCTCTTGCTTTTTCAGGGCCCGGACTGCATGGCGGATGACGGCAGACAACCCGGGGACGCGACCCGGGCCACTTGAAATCTCGTTTTCGTTCTTGTTCTCTTTTTCCTCTTTTCTTCTCTCTTCACCGGCCCAAGCCACGCGCCAAACCGGTCTCAAATCGTTTTACATTTTGCTTTCCCCTCGGGATCGGGCAACGGCACCGCTGAATGTGCTTGGCCATGCGGGAGCACACTGATCTGTCAAACACACAATCCTCCGGTTGCCCCGAAGTCTTGAGGAGCACCAATCCCCAGCCGCCCGCACACGAGCAAGCATGCCATTAATTTCTGGTGGCGTCCTCCGAAGTGCCTGCAGCAAGAAATCTGGGAAGGAATCCTTCCCGTCCCGTCGGCACGTCGAGATCAGATCCCGCGAGAGGCTTGCGGTGTGTCCAAAACCCTCTCGCATTTCTCCTGCGTGCATATCTCCGCCCTGGTCTATCCGCCCAGGTTCATGGCCGTTTGCTTTCCTTTCTTCTGCTCCCACCTTTGAGTTGCTGTTTCGTCGGCAGAACTGGCTGCCGCCAATGCTTGTCTTTCCTCACCTTGCCAGATACGGTACCTCGTACCTGGTAGTTTACTGCGTACCAGCGCCGGGCCTGCAGCTCGAACCGGAAACACGACACTGAGAAGTTCATCAGTCTTCCTCGAATTCTCCCGACCTCGATGAGAGCCATGTTTCACAGCACCCGTCCTCCTCCCGTTTCCCGTTACCTGCCTCCTGGAGCTCCAACGACCCCCGTCATAGTCACTTTCCGTCCGTTTGCAGTTTCCGAGTCTGCTGCACAATCCATGCGTTCTCTTCTTCATGCTACCCTTACCACAGTACTTTCTATCATCGACATGTATCCATATCACACCCCCTACATGCACATGCTGCATGGCTAGCACTGTCCACCATATTCCCCCAACATGTGTGTTCATAACTTCGGCAGTCGACCTTGGCAGTGCCTCCCCGGTCTAGACCATCCTATACCTGCACTTCCACACTGCCATCCCTGATTGATGCGTCTTTCTGCGGCTTGCGTATCCAAGACGGCCTGGTGACAGCAGGCGATCCCATCCTCACCTCTGACGCCGAGAAGTGCAAGCTCACGGCAGTTGCCGCCTTCATCAGGGTCTAAGGGGGGGCGTGCCCTTCCAACTTCCTCTTCCGTTCAGCCCTCCTCGGCAGCGCACCGCCCAATCTTTTTGTGACCTCAACCCGGAAGTCACCGCTTCACAGTCCCCAGCCCTTCCCGAACCGCCGCGTTAGGTTCTCCCAGCCCGATATCATTCCACTGTGCCAAGCCCCGCCGCATCCTGTCCACCTTGTCTTCTCTCTGCTCATCGCCGCTGCTGGAGAAGCGGCCGGGTGTACACAGCACGAGACCGCCTTCCGGGGGCATTGGGCCAAGCCGCCTCTTGCTGGGTACCTGCGGCCGCTAGTTTTAGTGTCACCCCTGGGCTCATCCTCACTCGCTCCTTGCCCTTACCGGCCGCAGAGGACCGCTTCAACGGTCCTACTTTGGCTTCCTCGCACGCCGGCTCTGCACTTTTCCTCTCGCCGACCACAAAAAAGAGACAGGATGCTGACAGACAGTCGGTTGTTCAACCTTGGATGTTTGACCATTCTATCTCCTGTGGAATGCAAGACTCTGCTTGAAAAGAATACCTTTTCCTGCCGCCCTTCTTTATAAGTCGTGGACGGAACGGGCTATGTGGCATCGAATACTCCGTTTTCTTCACCATATATCGTCACGCTCGTGTTTTTGCTGCGTTTAGCAAGGTCATCGAATATCTGTGCGCATGCAGGATATAAGCACCCAGCGATTCCAGCACACCAACAGCGGCCTCAATTGGCGACAGGATAGCTCTCCTTGTTCAAGGTATGACTCCGCTTTCTGCTCGTTCTACTAACCGGATGTTTCATGCACGGGACAGCCATCGAACCATGGTTGCATCTGTTTACGGGTCAGCAGGCCAACAATGCCGGTTTCTGATGTGCAAATAGGAATTTCACTGTCACCATGGGCCCCGTCGCCGCAGGACCCGTCCTTGCTGCGGCTGCTGCCCCCGTCGTGGGCACTCCCAGCCTGGCGTTACGTGCCAAAGCCAACGCTGACGTTCCCGCCCTTCCGGCCGGCTTCCCAGCCCACTTGCCCGATAAGCTGGCCTGGACTGGGTCTGACTTCAACAAGTCGTCCGAGCACATCCTGGTTCTAGACGGCCTCGGTCTCGCCGAGGTCAGGGCTGCTATCGAGTACTACAAATGTAAGTGCTCGCTAGTCAAACCAAGAGGCTTTCTGTTTCTCTTCCGCTGATCCGTTGGACAGCCCTCGGTCAAGATGGGGACCTTGTGGAACCCTCCAGCTTTCCGTTGCCGACTCTGGGTCCATTACTCCGGGCACTCAGTCGCGATGTTCACAGCGGCAGGGGCTTCTGTGTTATTCGGGGACTCAACCCCGCATCGTACTCGGTTGAGGACCTGACTCTGGCCTACCTCGGCGTACAGTCGTATATCGCCGAACAGCGAGGCCGGCAGGACAAGCGCGGCAATATGCTCGGTCAGTGTCTATACGCTACTTTTAATGCACCTAGGCGCTTGCTGATGGTAGGGGCAGTCCATATTGTTGCCGACAATAGCACCAAGCAAATGGCCGAGCATCACCGTCACTCGACGAAGGCCATTGTAAGTTCACCCCTCAGTGCTGTTGTTGTCCGCACACGTGAAGACTGAATCTGCCGAATGCCAGACCTTTCACAACGAAGAGGCCGGCGATGTTGTCGGGTGGTTGACTCGCAGCACTGCTGCGGCGGGTGGCAAGTGCATCATTGCTTCGGCTTATACCGTCTACAACGTCCTGGCTGCCACCCGCCCCGATGTGATCCGCACTCTGGCTCGCTCCGATTGGCCATTCGCCATGTAAGTTGGGCTTGCGCACGCATGAACGTGAGTTTGGAGTCTCTGACTAGATCTTGTCTTAGGCCTCGATTCCACTGCCGTCCCGTCGTCTTCTACCAGGACTCGAAATTGATCATGAATTTTGGCCGTGCCGCTCTCATGGGTAGCGCGGCTCATCCTCGACCTCAGCACCTGCCTGCCCTGACAGCCCGCCAGGTCGAGGCTTTGGATGCCATTGAAACCATCGCCCAGGCCACACAACTGGAAATCCAAACTCAAGCGGGCGATATGCATTTCATTAACAACCTGGCCATTCTTCATCGCCGCGAAGGCTTTGCCAACGGACAAGCAGCGACGGAAAAGCGTCACTTGGTACGCATGCGCCTCCGCAGCGCCGAGCACGGATGGCGCATCCCTCGAGAACTTGCCGCCGAGTGGGACGAGGCGTTCAAGAAGCAGGGCGTCAGGCACTGGCACGTGGAGCCGATGCCTCATTACTTCTTTTCGATGCGCATGCACCCCAACTAAAAGAATCGGACCCCTGAACCCACCTCCATTACGCCTGTACCTCTCTTCCGCCCCTTTTCCCCTTGCATTTGCGGCGTTGTCGAAGATAAAAAAGATGGGATGGGGAAGGGAACACGGGGGCGTTTGGGTCAGCATTTGATTCCATTTGTTTAGACACATGGTCCCATGGAGGGGTAATGGGCGAAAGAAAACGGAACAGTCACATACGGGATATCTGTCTCTTGTCGGTGTACGCTAATAGAGAAGTGTCAAACTGCTTTCTCTAATCTCGATCCTCAATGTGTGGTATGGCTGTATGGCGTCTTCCTCGTGGGTCCGAGTTTGATCTCGGATACGAATTTAGTTGACACATCTTGGGTATTGCCAACTAGAACGGCCTTGATTGGCAAGTTGAAAGAGAGCTAGAGAAGGCTCGATGGATGAGAGAGTGCAAAGAAACTAAGATGCTTGGGGATCTGATAAGCGGAGGTCTATACCATATTTAGAAACAGGTGCAGGAAGAAGCATGCTTGGGATCCACGTAACCCAGCCCAGATCTTGGGTTGGCTGCATTAGGCCGTAGTGCTAGTCTGGTCGGAGGAGGTATAGTTGTGCTTGCTGCCAACATCTAGCACGGCGGTCTCCGGAGCACCCAGATAGCCGAGTACTTTCATCAATTTCATCAAACCGAGTCGCTGCATACTCACTGCAACCGCAACCAACTTCCCTGCTACCGCAAATCATCAAGAGTGACTCTCTCGTTTCTCGCCGAGTGATTGACGTCCGGCTCGAGTTTATAGTGGGTCACTCGGAGGGTTACATCCCCCGGCCGGACCGGAGTGGTCCTGGTTTAGGCCCGACTAACACCGCAAGCCCCCACTTGAGACCACACCCACCACCGCCTTCAGTTGTCTCACCCGACACACACCTCTGCCCAGAGTTCTGATTCTGTCGACTAGGTAGCCCTCAACTGTGCAAGCTAAACTCACTCGGAGGGCGGTGTCCCTGCTCGCCCGCTTCCCCGCCGCATGCTTCCTGGCGATGTCATATCTGCTAGTTATCCTTTCAAAGAAAACATCGTGGTTTCAATTAGCTATGACATCAGTCTTTCCTCCTACGATAGAACCCCGTCCGTGATTTATGCAGCTTGTGTATGTAGCTCGGTCGGTCCAAGCAGCTTGGTAGGCGACTCGGAGTCTGACCGGGAAGCCACTCCATTGGATCGAAACCGGCGGTGAACTGTACCATTCTCAAGCAGAGAATGCCATGGTGTATCTGCCCACGACCAAAATGGGAGGCTTACGGACTACCTAACTAATCCGTATCCTCGGTGAGTCGTCGGGCTCATTCGCGGCGGGAATCCCGCCAGCCAACAACCACCGGTCGTCACACCGCTTCATCTCGCGCCAGAAGACATAGACCCAGAGGAATACTTTTCTGTATTTCCGTGCATATTCTCGCAGTCAGTGCTGTGTGCCTCTGATTTCACCTTCGTCTCGCTATCCTGTGTCGGCTTGTATTCGAATGGTGCCGTTGGATGCACTACGCGGCTGGAGAGTTGGCTGGAAGTGGGGGGCTCAGATATCTTGCCTTTCTGTACGTGATAGTTCATTTATTCTTCCCACTCCCGGGCGGGGGGGTTTGAGAGAAGAGAAACCTTTGTGCATGCCTTTCGTTCAGGGTGTGTCAGGTTGAGACTATCTCTGACAGTCCAAGTCATCTATCTCCCTTTCCCATGCAACACGATTGAAGGTTATCTCAGTACTCAGGCCTCCTTTTCCAGGGCGTGCACTCGATGCGATGCGATTCTTCGATGTGAAGGTAAGAACCTTGAAGCATGTACCTATATGTACCTTACTTTCCATGACCACGGTGCAAGTTGGTTTCATCCCAGGAATGAGTTTTGCGCACCCCCAGGATATCTCGCAGCTAGATGCTGCTTATAATTCACGGCCGTGTGGAAGATTCGTCGGGAGACGCCGGTGGTAGCACATTTCCCTCGGAATAGACGGCATGGCAAAAGATACAGCGCTTTGTGTCCTCCAGCTACAATTCGCAAATAAGAAAAGCAATCGACTGCGATGAGGGAAGGAACGTGTCCTGGCTTCCTGCAGCTCTGAGCATGGAAGGCACGAAATCCTATAAGCTCCCCCTTGTTTCATCTCTCTGCTAGCCTTTCCAGCCACGAGCTCAACGGTGGTTTGACGTTGAGGGCCTGTCAATGTCACAATGTCATGACCTGACGTCCGCGCACTATCCTCGATGGCAACTTTCCCCACCTCCCTACCTTCCGAGTTTGCTAATCTTTGCTTTGCTTACGCCAGATTGTCATTCCAATTTATTAGCGATGAATCATGCCCGGCTCATTCTCAAGCCGAGGCCGAGAACTCTCACGTCCTTGTGGCCCTCCCTTCATCAAGCTCCGGACGATGGAGGTTGGTCTCCTTTGGTCTTTGGCTTTGCCCGGAGTCGATTTCGACACTGGCTGTGCGGATGGACGTCGTCATTGTTGACCGAAAGCCGATTGTTGGAGTGGGATTCGCCTTTATCCACAGCTCAGGAACAATCTCCATGGGAGGTTGGGTAGCTTTCAGTTCTCTGCGTGTCCTTTTGCGAGCGCACATTGACTCATCTAGCCACACAACGATGAGCCGTTTATCCCCTTACTAGCACCCCGATGCTTCCAAATCTGGAATGGCGATACTGGCTGCCGCCAAAGAAGCCGTGGCAGTCTTGAATGACGAGTACAACAAGTTGGGTGTGAAGGTGTTGAGTCTGAGGGAGTCCATTGGCCACCCTTCGAGTTGGTTACATGCTCGAAGCCCGTCTGTCCGACTGTGCGAGTGGTGTGCGAGTCATGCCCTGTCTCTCCGCTCGGCCGTGCTTGACTTTCTGGATGAGGGAGGGTTGGATATATAGATCTCTATCCACCGTACCAGGTAAGACAGCTTCAGTAGAGACAGACAATCAAGGCCACACAGCAGGTTTGTGCCATATGTGCCCCTGTCCCTGAGGTTTCCATTCGCCCTGTTGGCGGTATTGCTGGTGAGAGTAGTAGTAAACTATAGAACATGCCTGCGGCGTTGGTGATACGGGCACGGTGTATTTCGCTTGACCGTTGAAACTTCGAAGTTACACAAAGTGGTTATTGGCACGTCCCCCGCGCATCTTGCTGTCTGTTACTTTGGGCACGGATACCAAGGATAGGTGGGCGTGGTGAGAGGAGATACTCCTCTGCTCACCGTCTTCTGAGAGCTCCTCTTGGTCAAGACAACAAATGACCTCCAATGCCACCAAAGAAGTGACATCTTCCGTATAGACATGATTTCGTGTCTTCACCAAGAAAGTAAAGAGATCTTTCTGCGTTGGAAGACATGAACCTGGTTTTAGCTGGGCAAGCAACCAAACAATAAGAAGTGAAAGCGAAAACGACGTTTTACTATGTGAGGGTAAAACTTGCGAGGTGGTGTTTCACTGTCCTTACTGTATTTGTGATTCAAGTTTGGCATCTTCTGTTTCTCGACACCTGCCTCATGTTGTCTCACTGCGGTGGTATACAACAATTTCGCTTTAGGTCTGAGGCCTTTTGCTAAGTTACTTCCGCAATTGTTCTGATCGTCTCAAATTCCAGGCTGACGCTTGCTGACGGTGCTCCCTCTACAGTCCGCGGCTTAGGAAACTGTTGTTGGTGGACTCGCAGGAAGGGGGTGAGGAAACAGAGTCCGATGTAGTGTTGCGTGGTTTATGCTGGCTCACCCACCATGCATGCCTTCCTACCGCTCACCAAGGCTCATGCCAACATATCTGGAGACAGTCAGGGCTCAGCGCCATTTTATTTCAGACTCATTCACCTCCCTTCCGTTGAGAAGGGCGAGTGACTCACAGCACTTCTTTCAGAAGCATGTCGCCGCTCCAACCCAGGGAAAAGCCACGCAGAAACATGTCTCTTAATATGGATTATCTTGGTCAGGATCTGACTTGCACTCTGTCAGTCTGCATTCCCTGGCTGCCCGTTGATTCTGACAAGATGCTGACGACACCGGGCGAGATCTTCCAGAGACGTTTGGCAATTGAGCCGAGTCGGCGCAAATGAAAGTTGAACGGAGAAAGAAGAGAAGATGATGAGGGTGAAATGAGAAAGAGAAGGGGGGGGGTTTGGTATAGGATTTCGTGCCTTCCCTTCTTCCACGGTCTGAAGCGACGTTCCTTCCCATCACCCGTCGTCGTAAAGTTACTGCCAAAGTACAGGAAATCGCAACCGGGAGCTGGTTTTGATCTGGCATCCAGCCGATGTCATCGGTCGAGCCTCTTCGAGCAACGATTGTCAATCGGGACTTGTTTGCTGGTGAGTCTCCGTGGCTGCAGAATGGGCAGAAACTACCTTGGGCCAAACAATGTCGTGCTTGTGGGCATCGCAACATGGCATAACTATAGCGGAGGGTTCCTTGCCCTATAGAGTGTTCCGCTATAGTAGGTTTGTCTCATCCGATTCCGCAACCATTGGGAGCCTGGCCTCTTCCTCGCAGTACGGGATGGTCGGTAAACCCCTTCCGAGACAGAGTACTCATGGCGTCCGAGGTACCCCATCAGCCTGACTTCTTGACCACCTGCATATGCGAGATGAGACTCGTCCCTCAGCCCCTGATGTTCGCCAACCTGAAGTGAAAATGGAGGCAGCCTCTTAAAGAGGGGCATGCTTATACCGCGTGAAGTGCTTCCGCTAGGGCACGGCATCCATCAACCTGTTTAATGGTTTCTTCCAGGCCCCTTCTTCAAAGATACATGTCATTAACGCCCCTTCCACCCTTCCCCAACCGAAGCAGACCTCGGCACTGTGTCTCGTAGGCACATCGTGCATCCCCGCCATCAACAAGCACGGCTTGTGATCACATAACAATTTCCTCAGCCACCGGGCCGTCTCCTGACTTCCAGCTTGCTATGCCGCTCGGCGAGTCAAGGTCGAGAGTCTACCGAGTTCACCGGATTCCCCAGACGGCCATTGGCAGTCCACGTCCAAACCTGATATCCCAGGCCGCGATGGACTGTAACGTCTTTTCCGCCTACTAAGTTGGCATGTATCCGTGTGTCAACGTGAGCTCTCAGTAAGTGACGTGGCTGCTGCATCGACATGCCGAACCTTCTCTGTCAGGGAGCCAGAGTAGATCACAGCAACGATAACATCAAGAAAATATTTAAGGCCTAACCCAATTACACACAGTCAAACATCCATACAAAGTGCTTCGATATCTAAGCGCAGATGGGGTTGCTTTGCTGCCTTTCATCTAGGTAAATTGAGT